AAAAAAAAACAATCTGGGTCATATGTGGTCCATGTCTGGCCCTAATCTGGCCCACTTCTGGTCCACATCCGGCATGCCATACCTTTGCCAGATATTGCCAGATCTGGGCCGACATCTGGCCACATGAGCAAATGTGAAATAATAAAAAAAAAAATCTGGGCCATATGTGGTCCATATTTGGCCCTAATCTGGCCCCTTTGATTTTGATCTGGCCCACATCTGGTCCACATCCGGCATGCCATACCTTTGTCAGATATTGCCAGATCTGGGCCGACATCTGGCCACATGAGCAAATGTGGACTGGGCCAGATGTGGCAATGTCTGGGCCAGATCTGGCCCAAACATTGCCACATCTGGCCCACATGTGGCAAGCCATATGTGGGCCATACCGTTTGCCAGATGTTGCCAGAGCCTGCCAGATCTGGGCCAGACATGGGCCAGATTACAGAGGCTGTCTGGGATAATTTGTTATATTTTTATGAGTTGTTTACAATATATTTATTAGTAAATACGGATATCATACAAACAGTTGTTATCCCTTTTACAACAACACAGCATAATATCACACAATATGATTTATTCAAAAAAAAATCTTACCTGATGAATCACAGGGACAGTAAGTTTTAATTTAAAAACCACCAGATGTAAAAATTGTAGCTAGTAGATGATGTGCTGTAGCAGTGTAAGAGATTTTGCTTACTAGTTAAAAAAAAAAAAAAACATTGCAACAGCCTTGATATATATATATATATATATATTTGTGAAGCATAATGATAATACTAAGAAATGGAATTAAACATTTTAGAATGTTTTTCTCATGATTAAATAAAAAATGAAACAAAATATAAGTTCTATCATAATTCTGAGCAGTTCCTGAAATACATGTATATTGTACAATGCTAAATATCTGCTTGGCACAAACATTTGTTGAGTTTGTTTAATAACAAGTTTATTTTTGTTTCCATTTGAAGGTGTTTGCATCATGATGTGGTGAAATGTATCATCATACATGTATTATGTATAACTATTATGATTATTACATGAAGTTTTTTTTTCTTTAGTTAATAACTTATCAACCTACAAATACATATGCCATTGTACTGAATCTGTCTGGCTTATAGACTGTTCAGAATAAATTTTATCAACATCCATATTTTTTTAAAATTTGAAGACAAAGTACATTTGGAGCAGGCGGCTGTTTCACAATCAGGGTGAACAATTAAATGTGGTTAATGTTACAAGTGTCTGATAAATTAACAATTTATGATTAGAGATTGCTGATAGACTGATATCAAAGACACTGTTCATAGGAGCAAAATAAAAAAGAATTATAATAATCGGACCACAATTTACAAAAATATGGCCAATTATGTGTCCAAAAAGTACCAATTTCTAGCTGTTACGATGGGTCATTTTCAACTTAGGTCATAAATATGATGCACTAGCTCTTTATGTCAATGATTTATGGTGAATATGATATTGGTGTATAATTCCCACAACATATATGTCTTCTCCTCTAGCAGGTTCTTCTAAAGATATGTTCTGAGTAAAAATTTATTTTAATCATTTTGCTGAAACAGGCTTTTCTACACATTTTACTTATTTTTGTTAATGCAATGAAAAACATATTTGATAAGGCCAAATATTACACCTACGTGATAATAAGATGAATTTACCATGTTATGACTTAAACATAAGAAAGGAGTTGTGCATATGTAACCATTATTATTAATGCTATGGTATTTATAATCATGAGCCCCTTGGTGTCTCCTACCCCCCCCCCATCTATTTTATTTAGGAATCACAGCATATTCTGTCTGATTTTATTATTCTATAAGACATCCCCTGCACATGCCATACAAACAAACTGGCAGCTTGGCCAATTAACTTGGTCAATTAACTTGCCCATTATGCTGTTAACAAAACAAACACCATAAAGAATGGGCCCAGCCAGGGCGTAATAAACATGGGGTTTGGGCTTTTTATGCATGGGGCTAGATATGGTCCGGGTCTTTGACATAAATATGTGGGTCCATAAGCATAAAGTTTAAAAGTTCCAAAAAGGTGGTCAAAACCATTTCATCAACGTTTTTATCCAGTATAATAATGATAATAATAATAATATAAATAAATAAAATGCATTTAACTTTTTGTGTTACATAAAAATGTGTTTAGTTTTGTATATTTCATTATAATTTGCATGCTGTGACAGTATGAATGCATGTACTATTTTTTTGTATTCCAAACCCAATGTCACTGTTGTGTATGAATACACTACTTCCTGTGAAAAGTAGTTCCATTTCATGAAAAATGGTCGTCTGCTAGTTTTATTTGCAAACAACAATCCACAAAGTCAGGAAAATAAGGTATCATCCAAAGTACTTCAACATTTAATTTATTTGTGTGTGTTAACAACAAACTGGTGATGAAATGTCTTTGAATCTAGAAGTGGTAAGACATCAAGAAACTTGACAAAGTACATTTGAGAATTTAGGTATATCTAAGCTTTCATGAACAGCTACAAGATGAAGAATATGAAGAATTGGACTGTTCTGTTGTGAGATTTGAGTTGTTCTTTACTGACAAATGGACAAGAAGTTCAGGGATTAAACAATATAAAATGTTTTTCTTGTGACTTTATAAAAATACAAATGAAGCACACTATAAATTCCATTAAAAAGAGTTCTTCATCCTTATTCAAAATCCTAATCACTAATGGGTTCATGGAAATTGGTCAGTAACAGTAAAGTATTAACTATAGAAAATGTCTCCACTCTACATACATTTTTACTAAAGCACAGCTGTGTGCTTACTGAATTTAAATATGCTTAAAAGTTTTTTTATTGAAATAAAGGCAAACATATTCATGAATAAAAACATTGTAAGACTAATAAACTTTCAAAATTTTTACATAATAAACATATCTATCCACAGTTAATACATGTTACTCACCTTGTTTCAGTTCAACGTACTGGAATGTCTTAACATTGCCCTTGTTCTCTCCCACCACCAGTTGTCCAGCAGGGTTGATGACTACTGCACTGGGAAACAACAACCCATCATCCCAAGTGACAATGTATCTGATAAACTGTCCCTGTGGACTCAGTGCCACTATCCTCTGTTTACCACTGTCAGCAATGAAGATGTGACCATAGCTGTCTGTGCACACTCCATGTGGATACCACAGTTCACTGCCTTCTCTGCTGCCGTTATACTGGTACAGATGATCACCAGTAGGTGACAGCACATGTACACAGTACCTCCGCATGTCACTGCCCCAGTCTGTTATCACAATGTTATCATTCACACTGTTCACTGTGATGTACACTGGGAATTCACACATACTGAGTGGAATAGTGTTCAGAAGCTGCCCACTGTCTGCATGGAATGTGAAGATGGACTTCTTTCTTCCGTCACAAACCATCACATGACCTTGTCTGTTCAGTGTAATACCCCGTGGTGACCCCAGTAGACCCTGACCCATGGTTGTCACCTGCTGACCTCTGGTGGAGTACACTTGGACACATCTGTCACCCCATGATGTTATATACAGGTGACCAGTCTGTGACACAGCCACATCCCATGGTGCGTTTACTTTAATGTCAAACTTAAATTGTCCTTCATGTGTGAATACTTTTGTTCTGAAGTTTCTTCTATCCACAACAAACATGTGTTCCTTATCTATGGCTAACCCAGATATGACAGGTATTCTATCATCTTCCAGTTTAGCACTGAAGGAACGCACACATTCTGCCTTGTCTAAGAAAACAGGAGAATGTGGAGCTGATGTTGTATTTGTTTCCTGTTCAGCTAATGGAGGTTGTGTCTGTACTGTCACCTGTCCTGATCTTGGATTTACACCTCGTCTAGACTGCCCTAACATGGCTTCCATTCCGACAGTAGATCCTGTAATATTTCTGTCAGCGATTGTTAAACTTTATGTTCACTTCTGGTGCTGCAGCTTGGAGATCACAGTAACATAAACACTTGCTCCATATACCTACAAGTCGGTCAGATCATATCTCTTTCTTTGTCAAATATGTTCAACATTATCCCACAATCTCCGTCCTGTTACTTCCTGGCTGTTGAAGAAAATGGCGCCTGTTTATCACATACAGCACTGACTCGCTTAGGAGAAAGGCCAGGACAGGACACAGAATGGCGGCAACGGCATCACAGGCCACGAGAAACAAAACGGCATCACAGAGCAGTGGATGATAGATGACACAGCGAGTTCAGGTGCCAGTAGAATGTCAATTTTAAAACAGGTATCTGAAAGGAATAAGGATTGTTCTATAATAATAATAATAATAATGAGAAGAAGAAGAAGAAGAATCATGGTATGACTCCGACATCTTAGTAATTACTGTACCAAAGGTCACAAGAATCATCACATAAAAAATAAAATATAATAATAATAATAATAATAATAATAATAATAATAATAATAATAATCTTGAGATTGCAGACTAACTGGTTAGGGGACATAAGATTAAAAGTATTCGCGTCTGTCTTCAGGGCCGTAGCCTGAGCAAAATGCCAGGGGGGGGCCGGAAAGCGGACACGAGGGGGCGAAGCACGGTGTGGAAATTTTTTAAAAACTGTATGTATAGGCCCTAATAGGCCTACTGCATTCTGGTGCATTTTAACTGTTATTTATTGCTCAATTAGAAGTCAGAAATTGTGGGTTCATTTTGCTATAAGTACAGTCATTTTTTCAACACAACACGCCAATTGGACTTCATTTCGTAGATTGTCTCAGGATCAGGAATAACGT